AAACATTGTCAATCATCTTCAAACAATCATATAGTTATGATGTGAATAAAAAACCGAGTGGTATAATAGAACATGGGTAAAACGTATTCAAATCAAATCAAATGTATTTTCATGATAATATACAATTTGTTGTATGTCGCAGTTATTGGATTTCAATTATCTTGTCGATATTGAAAACTGAATATTTGGGCAGGAATTTTAGGTGACCACATCATAGGACTTTTTTTTATCGATCATAATTTGACTAGTGATAAATATTTGAATATGTTGGAGAATCGAATAATACCGTGCATCAATTGGGCAATTGAGGAGGATATAAATTATTTCGTTTTCGAAATACAGAATGGTACACCTCCTCATTGTGAAGCTCCAGTGTGACAATTTTTTGATGATCATTTTTCTAGTCGCTGGTTTGGCAGAAGAGGTCCTACAGAATGGCCACCAAGCTCTCCGGATCTCACTCCTGTAGACATTTATTTCTATGGGGCCATTTGAAGTCAAAAGTATATGAGACAGAATCAACAACATTAGAAGATTTGAGAGAGAATATCATGAGGCATTGCAGAGAAATAACTCCCGAGATTCTCAACCATGTGAGGGCGGCAATGTTGTACCATTTTATGGAAGTTAGTGGACACGTTTTTGAACATTTACTAGAGAAAATGTTTTCTTCTCATTGTCCAGTCATCAGATTTTGATCAAGACTTGAATTTCTGATTCATTGTTCCATATTTGTCTCTAGAACGAATATTTCAAAATGTGACATCCTGAATAATTGTCGAACTGTTTTTTTTTATTTTTCCTGCAAATCATTGTTTCAAAAGTAATTCAGGGTGGCTCATTTTAACTCAAATAATTTGTAGCTGAAAACTATATTATTGTACCAAAAGTTATTCAGGGTGGCTCGTTCTAAATGGAATGCACTGTATATTTTATGGAAACAATATGACAATCACAATAAGTAAAATTCATTCACTTTTATTGTATTTTGTTTGTATTATTTGAATTGGTATTCCAAAGCTTCTGCAATGGTTTCTCCGTCAAAACTTGCTTCCCTCACAAACAAACTTTTGACAGTATTATATAAAAATTTTACTTTAGATGTAATTTTTGAAATTATCAAAAAAACCGAAAACTTTTATTCTCGCACTTCTGCTATGCCTACTTTTGAATCAAAAATTAAATTCAAAGAATCTGTCTAGTTCGTTTCATTTATTCATACAGGGTGTAACTAAATAAGTGTAAAACATTTAAGGAAGCGATTCCTCATCGAAAAAAAATATTTTTCATATGAAGAAACTTCATTGTAGCATCTCCTGTTAAGAGCTGAAAAAGCACTGAAAAAGTTACCATATTGAAATTAACCTGACGTTTTGTACTACCAAAAAGACACTTGGCCAGTAATTTATTTGGTTTACCCCGTGGTTATAAGGGGTGGAAAACGTATCTCCTAAAATTGATTTCCAATGTAACTTTTTGTCTTATTATTTCTTTACCATTTTTAAATTTATTACCGATAGCCTGTTTCATTCTAAACAAAAAATGTCTCTTGGTTTTTTTGCCCAAAATAAACCAGTTCGCAGCAAAACATTATTTTACCAACAACTACAGAGATACATCGTCATAAATGCGAACTGGATTTATTGTTATTCTGTAGATAGTACTCCTGCATTGAACGATTAAAGGGTAATAAACAAAACTAATTTATTAATAACAAAACACACAACATGTAGAAATCATAGTAAATGTTCAATATATCTACCTTCAGATATTACGCATGCGTCTAGAAGTCGGCGCATTGAGCCACGTATTCCTCTACATCGCAAACAGGAGTACGATAAACTAAATGCTGTAAATGGCCCCAAATAGAGAAATCGAGAGGATTGAGAACCGGGGATCGAGCGAGCCAGTTCTGTGATCCTGCTCGACCTAGATACTAATTTGCATATGTTTCAGTTAAATGCTGACGTGCTACTTGACTAAAATGGGCGGTAGTCCCATCATGCATAAAAAACATATCTCTTCTGAAGCCCAAAGGAACTTCCTCCCGCAGTACTGGATGCACTTCTCTTAAAAATTGAACGTATGCCTCACCATTTAATCGAGGAGGTAGAAAATGAGGCAAAGGTTGAAGACGTACATATCCATATAATTATCACTTCTTATGTCATATTACAGGTGCGGTCTAGCGATTCTGTTAATGACAGTTATTTGGAATAAAACTACTTAGTAACAATTGTATGTCAAGAAGATTATGATTCACAATAAGGAATACCTTCAATAATTTTACCTTATCTTTCTATTTTCAGCCTTTGTTACATGAAGTTACGAGTATGTGCAAGCAGTGACCAATTGTAACTAATTTTTCAATAAGAAATCTGAGAATATAAAAATTAGTATAGGCTATTCTTTAATATACTTAAACAGTTTAATCTTCCTCTTGATGATGATGACTTGGTGATTGAAACACATGTCGAGGAGTCAAAAAAACGGTTTGGTGTTGCATTACAAGTATATGTTATTTTTGTTAAAAAAATCTCGTGATTTCATCACCAGTATCCTTCAAAATGGTATTGAAGCCAAGTTAATCAATTGAATTAAGGAAAATTCCCCGAATAATGTGTTATCATTTTTATCAATCTTTTAACTTCATTCAAACAGGCTTGTCCTTTAAGGACAGTTGAGTTCAGCAATGCATTTGTGGTTCAGCCTAGCACCACTGATGAGACTTATGACGCTGTCTGGTGTTGAATCATAAATGCGTTGTCTTTGGGCTCTAATTTTCAATGAATTCAAACAACTGAAGACTCAATGTGAGACACAAAAATAAAAGAATATGCAGATGAAAATCTCAAAACTTTTCCTGCACACGTGTAAATAATCAAATTTGAATGGATATTTTTCCAACTGATATTTTTCCAAATTTATAAAATTGTCAATCTATAGCCTTGTGCTATTTAGTGGATTGATTAAAAATTTGCTGCATTTTTTTCGTTCTTTGATAAGCCAAGATCTCAAATGTTATTGAATAAGACCCAACGCATTGGCTTATCCTTGTGTTTCTGCAGAAGTAAGATGATCTCTGCGGCTTTTATCTGAGCTTTGCTGAACGGCTTCCAACTCGGTGACAGAGTTTGGTCACCTCGTTCAGTGACGAAAACTATACCGAGTTCATCAGCTACTTGGGCAGCTGCCCTAAAGAAAAATGCTCCAATTCCTGCTCTCTCATGGTCACGGGTCATGCAGAGAAGGGGATCCGAACTCCTGACGACTTTACATTCTGTATCCAGTACCATTCTGTCATGTAGATACTCCAAACTCAAAAGTCTACGGCCTCCCTGCTGTCGGGGGAAGTACAACCGTTTCGACCAAGCGTCTTCATTTCAATCAGGATGGAGCCCAGCTTCCTTACCCTTTTAGCTGATTTTTGTCGAAGAAGGACAAATGGTTCATGACTGAGGGGAAAGTACAACCGTGAAACGGACAATTTGGGATGCAAACTCTTATTATTATTATTATGGGAGAGAACATTGTCCTGTGGAAATTTTTAATAATGATCACCATATACAGTCGAGACAGGGTTGATAGGCAGAAGAGAAAAGAGGCAGCATTGACTACGTTCATGGTCAATGCTGGTGTATAGGAAAAGTAGTGTTATCGTTAGATATCAAGCTTAAACATACACACCTAGTTAATACCGGTTCCTTTTTCAAATTCGATTTCGGTAAAGTGAACTTTTCAGAAATGTAATTAGAACACACAATTGATATGAATATTGTCACGCGTGGGATTGCGAGACACTAAATGTTTATTTATGCATTTTCACGTTACAAACAACTTCGTATCTTACCTCGTAATAATTTGCATTGAAAACACTCCCGAACCGATGACGAAATGCGTGATTTAGACGGACGTTTCATTATTTCATCGTTTCAGACAGCCTCAGGGGAGTTTTAATGACAAAATACCGTCTCGTAGTTGAAAAGGAAAGATGATATCGGGGCGTGTTGTCAAGTACTCAGTCTATTAGTGTGGATTTATTATTATTTGATTTTACGCAGTAACTTATCGGGGTAAACTAAAAAGTTTGCCCTTTCTGAGCTTGTATAAAGTTCTCTATTAAAATTTTCATATTTTTCACATTGTGGAAGGTAAAAATATCCAAAAAAGTCGATAAAAAATTGTAATTCAGCACTTCAGAGTGAGAACACATTTATTTTCATCTGATGAATTTCTTGACAAACTTTCATTGCAGATGTACTTAGCTTTCTTTAATACTCTGATCTTATCATCAAGACTTTCGAAGATGAAAAACAAAAACTCTAGAGTATTGCCCAAGTGATTTCTTGAATTTCCATGTCAAGAAGCGCTGTATCAACTGTGAAATGGGATGATTCTCTTCAACAAAGATATGAAATAACCTCTTGGAGTAAACTTCCTTTCCAGATTTTAGTGAAACATCTAGTAGTGGGCAAATACTGTAGTCTCATATTCATATAACAACTATCTTGATTTTTGGGTCCTACAGATCCTAGACCTGAAGTAAATGTGTAAACAGCCAAGAAATAATAAAACATAACCTCATATCTTTCCTTTATCGGCTTGAATAATTGGAATCCAGGTATGAGCAACTATTAACAGATACTTACCGTAAATAGGGCGCAGTCTTCGTTCAACAACTGAATTATCCTGGTGCACGTGCATATTTGACTGAGCCCTGGACATTTTTACTCAAACTAGGTTATGTTACCGGGACCTCTTTGAATAATTTTTTCTTTTGCTGTAAATCACTACAATTGAATTATTTAGACTAGAAAAGTTCAGGAAGTCTATTATTAATAGCTCCTTTTTATTGTTTACCTGGCTTATACCGCCATGATTGACAAATTGAAAATGTGAAAATGTGAACCTGAAGTAACGAATAAACACATCAAAAGGACAGCTCAGTTCATACATTATTTGTAACTACATATCTAAGATATTGATGACGTCTCCAAAATTGCTTTTAAGGGTCCTGTAGACGGTCAAATTTGTTTGTCGAATTTGTTTGTCAAACTTCATGTTTTCATCAAACAAAAGCGCATACGATCAAACCAATAGATCAAATAAATTTGCCCATATTTCAGTTTTCTCCTTGACGTTCGTGTGTTGTTATCATCTTCTGTCGTATATAACAATGAGTGATAATACAGATAAGGCGTTTTTGGCATTGACACTAGCACTATGTATGAAGAAAAAGAAAAAAGGTCGTCGATGGTCTAGAGAATGGTTGAAATTACGGGATAAATATACGCACGAAAATTTGTTACGGGAAATAGTGCTCACAGAACCAAATGACTATGCAAACTTCCTGCGCATGGACCATAAAACATTTGAAGATTTATTAACATTGCTAAGTCCTTGCATAGCAAAACAAGATACCGTTATGCGTAAATCTATACCAGCTTCTCAAAGATTATCTATAACCTTGAGGTACCTGGCTAGTGGCGCCGATTTTGAAGACCTAAAATTTCAAGCCTGCATTGCACCTCGTACACTCAGCGGCATTATCATTGAAACTTGTGAGGCAATAAATGAAAAATTAAGCAATATTCAGGTAAGATTTTTATTTCAAAATTACAAAATATATAATTTAAAGAGAATAAAAATTGTTTATAAATTTGGCTGCTGTATCATCTTCAGTTTCTGTATTAGTTTCATTTGTTTGCGAGTCTGAAATATGAATCACCACAGGTTGCTCCGTATTGGACAGATATGATTGTTGTGAAATAGGAGATGGGCTGTACGGAGTAGGTGATGGAGTGTTCCAAGCGAGTGCTGGCTGAGACGGATTAATAACTACCGAATGTCGATGAAGGTTTCCTTCTTCTCCTTCAAAGAGTATTTCGTTTATAAATTTTTCTGCCAGTCTTCTTTGTTCTCCAGACATGCGCTCTAGCTTAAAGGCCCAGTTTCTTGCCATCACCTGATATTCATTTTCAGGTTTTTTGAAATGATCCCTGGCTAATGTCAATAAGTCCTGTTGCAAGTCCTCCTTTTTCTTCTTTTTTATTTGTACAGGACTAATAGATGCTGAAGGTGGCAAAGGTGATTGTGTTGATGTTGATGTTGATAGTTTTGACGATTCCTAGAAACCAAAACAATAAATATAAACATATTACATAATAATAATAATACATAATAATAAACATATTACATAATAATAATAAGTATTTTTATGTTTCAGATACCCAAAACACAAGAAAGTTGGAAAATATTGGCACGACAATTTGGAAATTCATGGAACTTTGATAATTGCATCGGAGCTGTAGACGGAAAGCATATCACGTTACAAAAACAAAGAAGTAGAAGAGATAATTCCCCCCCTCAAATTCTACAAGCCAAAATATATCATCAGTTTCTTCTGAGAAGCAACCTGGGACAAAATAAATTGATATCCAATATGTCATCCAACAAATTACTCGACGCAGCGGAATTGTATGCCTGACATTATAATGTCCAATTTCGCTATTTTCATCTTCCTGGAGAAAACTGATAGGTACATAGGTTTCCATAGCGTTAGATTCTACAGTTTGCCAAATATAGAAAGAGCTTTCTAACTTTCGATATGGTCCCGCCCACTAGATGCGAAATCATTAGAAGACGGTGAAAGCAAGTAAAAGAGAGAGAGACTCAACTCTCTTTCCATATTCAACAATCTGTTGTTGGTTTCTGCTATCCCAAGACCTCTTGATGCCGCCGAAAAAGTGCAATGGCAATATGCTCTCATCAGCAAAGCAAAATATTGGTTTCGTGGTATTTTCTAGAGTAGACTAGAGAAAATCAGCGCTGATGGTGTCGGTATCCGAAGAACAATCGATGGCTACTTAACAGCCACGATCTCTCTTGACGAACACGGACCTAGGAAATATCCGTTGAGTCTGAAAGAAAATTCAATCCTGTAATAACCAAGATAACAGAGGTTTCCCGAGATGGTCAGTTACAAAGCCAAGTTTCAACATCGACTGCCAAAGATTGGCTTTGCAACTTTGTAACGTCTTCGTAAAGTGAGATGTCGTCAGGTCTACTTACTCAGGCTCTCTGGTTCATCCTAGAACCACTAATGAGACTTACAGGCGGGGCGAACCAGTGCTGTCTGGTTTAGATCACGAATGTTTTGTTTTTAGGTTCTAGTTTTAAGTGGATGCCTTGCAGTGAGAGCTGCAGTGAAAGACAGAGGACGAATGTCGTTCGACGGTTGATATCGCAGCTTGGCTTTGACTACTTGGTTACTCAGGTTTGTCTTTTAAGGAGAGTTGAGTCCAATGCATTTGTGGTTCAGTCTAGCACAACTGATGAGACCAACGGCGGGTCGAAACAGCGCTGTCTGGTGTTAGATCTTAAATGGCCTCTAGTTTAGATCAACAGTTCAGTGAGGAAGTTTGTATTGAACAAGATATCAAGGTCAGGCTGAATAAACCTAAAAGGTATAATTTTTAGTAGGTACTCCTTGATTGAAAAAAATTTCTTATTACAAAACACATTAATATCGATATTTCTAGAAATATTCCTTTTTATCTGCCATATGGCAATTCCATCAACCCGATGAGGTTTGTTAAGTTATTTTTGTTTATAAAAACAACAAAAAATGTCAGTACGACAATGAGCATCATTGTTCAGTTAGAATATTCTCATTTAGTTTTCGGTTTTGCTAGTAGAAAGGTACAACGTCAACAATCTCTAAAATCGTCAATTCTCGTCCATTGGAAGAAAAAAATTGAAGCGATTTTTATTTACGGTGCGACGCGTAACTTTCACAAGATCGAATGAATGTTCAATGAACGTTTTCCGAATCATCCTATCTGTGGAAAATATTTGAGGGAACTTGTATCCAAATTCACAACTACCGGTAGTGTACATAACAAAAAGCCCCCAGGTCATCCGTCCATTCCGGAAGAACAGCAAATGCAAATAATTGGTTGCATGGATCCAGAACAGTCTACTTATTCCGTCGCGAATGTTTGTGAGGTGTCTCCTTCTACTGTGTGGAGACTTTTGAAGAGGAATAGGTATCATCCATACAAAATTAAAATGATACATTGCAAGGCATCCTACCTATCTCCACAATATTGTTTTTATTGACGAATGTATTTTTTTAAACGGCAATGTTCACAGACAAACTTGCTGTTATTGGAGTGACACCAACCCCAACATTTTCTGGGAAACACATACCCAATATCCAGAAAAAAGTTAACGTTTGGGCAGGAATATTGGGAAACCATATTGTAAGACCTCTATTTATTAATCAAAATTTAACAGGGGAACTGCTGTAAACTACTGTTGACAATCTCATCACTGAAATCGTCGAAGCGAATCCTAATGAATTCGATATCGACACTGTATTCCAACAAATTGGAGCACCACCACATTACTTCAGACAAGTAAAAAACTTTTTGGATACTACTTTTCTCGGTCGTTGGACTGACCGTCGAGGTCCTACAGAATGGCCAGCCCGCTTGCCAGATTTGACACCTTTGGACTTTTTTATACGGCTATTTGAAGCAAAAGGTGTACGAAACTGAACCTGCTTCAATATTGGATATTCGGCAGAGAATAATAAATATTTGTAGAGATATTGACGTTAATGTGTTC